CCAACAAAATAACCACAAACAAACAAACGAAAAAAGAATAAAAGGTTCTCTGTTCTGTAAAATCAACATTTTTTAGAGGCATGAAATTGTGTATATTCCTATTGAAACATACTTCAAGTCATCGTGACAACTGTTGACCTCAATGCTATATTATTATACGGGGTGCCCACTACAGCTGAGATCGGCCGATCGGGCGACTCGATCGCCTCAAAAACATACGTGTTTGTTTTCAGTTTCAGGCGATCGAGTCGGGCGATCGGCCCGATCCAGCCTTAGTGGGCACCCCGTATTACATGTATCATTTCCTCCGATGTGGCCTGCGGTCAACCACAGTGTTGTAATCCGACAGAACACTGAATCTTTGATTGTTCTTCTAACCTTTGTTCCGCTAAAGCATACGGGCCAATCTTTGAACCACACACAAATCGCTAGATACATCAGAATTACTTACAAAACTCTATCTGATCAGTAGATTGACCTAGTTTTGAATATGAAAAAAAATTGACGTAAAAAATGCTTAGTTTCACACCATGTGAAGCTTTTTCAAATACAATTCTTTAAATATAATGTATCTTGATAACGACTCCGAATAATCTTACGATGTTGGTAGAGCAGATCGAGCATTTGGTTTTTGATCGCAAGGTCTTAGTAACTGAAAACGACCAAAAATATCAGATAGAACTTTATAATTCTGAGGTAGCCACATGTCATAACAGGTCGTATGTTTCATCTACACCACAGCTCACTGCGTGTGACCAGAGTTTGTGAAACGCGCACGCACACAAAGGCTCCTAATCCTCCCCTCCACACACACACATTTCTGTTGCTAGATTTTCTATATAATAATAATGTATATTATATAATATAGTCGAAATTGTCGAAGGTGGCCACTCATTGTCCAGTTGGAGAGCAACCATAATATACAGCTTGGCGTCTTCCACAATGTCCTCAGAATGTTCAAAATATACGTAAGAGCAGGGGATAAGAAGTGGTTGTTTGTACAGGCAAGGTGTGTCTCTCCCTACCCCACCTTCCCCTCCTCCTCCTCCCTCCTCACCGCCCCCTTCTCTGTCTGTCTGTCTGTCTGTCTGTCTGTCTGTCTGTCTGTCTGTCTGTCTGTCTGTCTGTCTGTGTGTGTGT